TTTTCTATTTTATTTATTTGTTGCGCCCTTCTGCATGTTTTGCTGTGTGTGTATATATGTATATATGTATATATGTGTGTGTGTCTATGTGTGTTCTTGATTTTTGTGCGCGTTTTTTGGAATTATCAGCATTCGGTTCTGGTCTGTGATGTAATAGCCTCTAAATTGACAAAATTTTTATATGCTTTTTGGTCTGCCTTTTGTTTATTTGATTTTTATGAATTTTAGTATTTAAGATTGCATTTTTGGTTTTTTTTAAACTTTAGACGACATCAGCTTTATGATTTAACACTAAAGAAACTTAATATATAGTTTCTAAGAATCTTGATTTTTAATTTTGTGCTTTAAATTCTACTTATTTTTATTTGAAAACTAATATAGTTTTCCAAAAGCTTCAATCTCAAATTTCCAATCAAAATTGCTTTTCATATCAAAACCCACCCAAAAAAAAAACTTTCAAAAAAAGGCAAACTACATTTCTGCTATATGTTTTTTAGTAGGAATTCACAATTTCCTCTAGCTTTATGTTTCATCCAAGTCATATATGCCATTTTTTATGACTCCCCCACACACCCACAATCTTACTCACACACACACATTGAAAAAATGGCAATGAAACTTTACACATTCCAACTGTTCAATGCAGATAAACCAAAGCTCAAAAAAGTGTGCAAAAGAGAGGGGGGACGGCTAGTGTGAGGGAGAGCCAGATAGAAATGCGTTTTCTATTTGTGCAAACTATTGCGGCGGCCATTTATACTCACACACACACACACATACTAATACATCTGTATATATGGAGATAACACCCACACAAAGGAATTGCTTGCATGCAAAAGTTTCATTTTTATTGCATGTATGTATGTGTGTGTGTGCGGTAGAGTGTGTGTGATAGTGTGGCGAAGTAGAGCAAAAGGCAACTGGCAATTAGCAGCTGGGGTATGGCCAGAAAAAACCCCACAAAACTAGCGAAAAACGGTAGAAAAAACACGAATTGAGTTTGCCAAACCCAATAAACATTGCACCTACAGCAGCGGTCAAATTACTAGTTACCCTGACTAAGGTTTATGCACTTCTTAGGAAGAAAACTATAGTCAGATTCCGTTTAATTTTTAAATATTTTTTTTATTTTTTTTAATTTTTACATTAAGTTTAACACATTGGGTATATAATCTTTTACCCTCCACTATAAGTCTCCAAAAAAACTGTGTGTAAGCTCTCCCACTATCTCCTCCTCTCTCATCGCCTAGGCCTATGCTCTCTTTCTTCTTCTTTCTACATGAATAGTCAACATTTCAGTGGCAATGGAAACGCACAAAAAAAAAGAGAGAAAAAAATGTCACTTTGACTGACACTGGCAGGTTTCCGGACTTGCCACGCCCCCCTTCTGACCACTTTAGCCAGTTTATAGCTCTACCTTCTACCAAGAAAACTTGGCTAACTATTTCTTTTGATAAGCCTAATTAGCAGTTCATAAAAGCGATTATTTCATATACGAATTTTTATGGTCAAGTCTCGTGTAGGTTTCGTTTTTTTTCCTTAAGTTTTTTTTCAAAGTTTTTTTTTTTTAAACCCTTGAAATGGCAGTGCGTGTCTGGGCTTTAATGGTTTATAAAACTTAAAAAAAAATATACGTTTATAGGTAGTAAAGTAAGTTGATATTGGAGGTATTTGCATAGATATGAGGGACTACTGAATGGAGGGACTACTGTAAGGCTGTAGTTTGTAGTTCTGAAAGATTTTGGATCACAAAATGAACTATTTTTTCGTCTTAACTACAATTTTTTAAAGCAATTTATTAATTTTCTAACTTTAACTTCTTTTACAATTACTTTTATGATGTTTTTAATCAATAGTTTAGTTAATTTTAATCATAACACAACTCCGTATGATCATAGATTGATCAAATATCTAAAACTGTCTTACATTTTTTAAGATTTTGTATGATAACATCGTGAGTATTCTTCATATCACCTTATATTAAGCAAATATCTTTATTTTTTAATGATAATATGATAAATATTATTAAGGTATACATACATAGTTGATAGAAAATTAAAAACCAACTGTTCTATACCACTTTCTAACTCTCAAAAGTCAAACTATAACAATTCTTAGTAAGTTATCTTGCATTTCTAATTCTACAAACCATAAACTGCATTTTGACCATCTCACAATTGACCAACTTTTGGTCTTTTTAGGCACCCCTAACCCCCAATAACAATCAGATGGACTGACATTGCAACGCTGTTGCTCTGTTTCGCCTTCTTGGTAATCGGTGGCATTAAAATTCAAGCAACTGCAGTGGCAAGTCATAAAATTTCAACAATTTGAGAAACAGAAAACCGAAATGCGTTCGCCTTTGTGGAAAACTCAAGGGGGCCGGGGCGGCAGCGGGGTTAAGAGCAGCATATCATAGACACTTTGCGCAAGTGCCGACAACAACAGCAAATAAAAAAAAGTAGAAAAAAAGGAGGGAAAATAATGAAGTCGGTTGCATTGCGTCAGTTACAACACAGCTAAAAAAAACCAAGAAGCAGAGGGAGAAGCCGCGCAGTCTGCCCCAAAGACAAGTTATTCTTAGAAAAAAAAGAAAAAAAAACTTAACGATTGTGCAAATGCACGTGAGAAGGCAGAGGAAAAGTGGAAAGAGCGGGTCGCACAACGTCGCACTTCCGACAGCGGAAAATGCAGCAGACGAAAAACTAAAACAAAAAAGCCAAGGAAAATGATACAGAGATAGAAATGGTTTTTGTTCTTAAATGGGATTATAATTGTTAATATTTTTATTTTAACATTTAATATATTTTGTGATTCTGATTGAAAAGAGAAATCTCAAATAAATTATTTACTTTTTTAATACATTAAAAAATATTTTAAAAATGGGGTGTAACACCAGAAGAATTGCATAAATTTTAATTAAAAAAATATTTAATATTTAAGAGCTTTTTATTATACAAGAAATGGTAAACAAAGTACGTAAAAGATAAAAATAATTATCTTTTTATTAACTTTTGTACTTCTACAATTTTTTGTCGTATATTATGAAAAATAAATATTTTTAATATTTTTAGTGTCTTTAGAGACTAATTAAATTCTTTAAAAATATCTTATATCATTTTTATTATATTTCTTTTAATAGCATCACTTTAGATATTAGTAAGAGGACTTTTTGATTTGTTCTTTGGAAGAAAATTGCAAACTAACTAAATAATTCAAATTACTAATTCAAAAAACCCACTAAATTTACTTTCTGTGTAAAAGCTTAAAACAAAAAAACTAGAAAAAAACACTGTTGTGCATTTAATTAAATGCGGAAGACCCCCAGCAACAACAAAACAACAACAACAACAACGACAAAAACTACAATTTCAAGCGCACGCAATGCCAGACCAACCCCAACCAGAGCAAGCGAGATGGAGCCAATGCTAGAGTGAGACAGAATGAGCGGTATTAAAAAAAAAGTACACAACGCACAAAATTTGGAACACGCTGCGTTTGCTAAGTAGGTCAAAGTGGCAGCGGAGCCGACAGCGCAGTCACTAGCAGCAGCAGCAGAAAAAAAAACATTGCGTGTCAACTGCGACGCATTTTGTTTTTTTTTTTGTTTTTGTTTTTTTGTGCAGCGTCAAGAAGCAGAAGTAATATATTTTTAATTTATGCACCACCCCAAAAAAAAAACACACACACAGTATCTACACCCCTTTTTTTCAAAGCGTATGAGTGTGCGAGTGTGTGTGTGTGTGTGTGTAGATACACATGAAGTAAGCAACTTTTGCTTTTTTTTAAAGATATTAATATGCAACGCCAAGTTTTGAGTGTCATAAATCATACGCAAAGTGCGTAGACAATTTTTTTCTCTTGACCAAAAAATGTTTGCCTGCTTCTTCTTCTTCTTTTTTGCATAAATTATATTTGTAATTAGAGGCGGAGTTGAGCCGTAATTGTTTGCAAATGTTTGTGGACACTTTCTAAAACAACATTTTTCATTTTTACGCACTTTTTCGTGCGTGGGGAAACTTTTTGTGGGGCAGAAAGTTGTCTTAACAAGTGGCACATAACAAATTTGCAACATCATTTGGTTGCATGTGATTTAAATTTTTAATATTTTAAGTTAATTAAACAGATATTTTTAAAGGTATTTTTTTAAATATTTTTCTTTTTATTTTTAATTAATTTGTTTTTTTTTTGTCATTTCTTTCTATTTTTTTCAGTTTTAAGTTGTGAAAAATTTTATAAAATATTGTTTATATATTTTTATATTTCAATTTAAATATTTAAATTAATTTGGCAGATTTTTCGATACATATATTATTTTGCTATCATTTTTATTTAATTATTTCTACAGCCAAAAAGTTGTAATTTTCAATTATATTTTAAAATTTATCATTTTGTGTTTTGGTAAATTAGAAATAAAGTTATTTTTATATATTTCTGAATTTTATTTAATAATTTAATATTTAATACAAATTATTGCAGTTAATTAAGCTGCTTTTTCAAGTTAAATATTTAATTTCTGTTTATTTTTTTTATTAATTTCTTTCTTCGCTTAATGAGAAGTATTTTTCATTTCTTTTTGTAATTTCATTATTTTTAATAGTAAACATATTGTAATAAATATATTTTAAAATATTTTGGTTAATGTAAAATATTGCATTTAATTAAGTCGATTTTTCTAGGTATTTATATTATTTTTTTATATTCTTAAAAAATTTTGCTCTTTGATTAAACATTTTTTAAAGTCATAATTTTTGGTTGAGAAAAATGATAAATAAAATGTTATTTATATATATAAATATTTAAATATTTATATTTAAATATTTTATATTTAATTTATGATATTGCAGTTACCTTAGCAGTTTTTTTTTAAAGTTAAATATATGCAGTATTTATATTTTAAATTTATTTATAAGTTTTTAACATATTAAAACACAACCCCTTTTTCCATTTCATAAATTTTCCTTTTTAATGATGACAAAAATGAATATTAAAAAACTCACCTTAATATTCAATTGCAAATTTTCGCATTAATCCAAATCCAGAATCCTCCGATGTAAAATGTTTTCACAAATGGTAATTTTGAATTTATAAGTTTAATAATTTTTTAAGTTTTTTACACTGCACTTTTTTTTTGGTCTTTTTTTGGGCCAAAAGTTTAAGTTCTGTTTTAATTTTCAGTTTTGTTGCTAATTTAATTTAAGTATATACTCGATTTGTTTTTATCAAAAAATTGTTTACCAAATATTCTTCGATATAATTTGTAAGCATAGATATATGTATAGGTATATATATATATTTTTATAAATATTACGATTGGTATTTTTTTAGATTTTATTTTTAGATATTTTAGCGTTTTGCTTTTTTCTATCGAAACGAAATTTTTATGCAAACTAACACACACGTTTTATCTGCTGTTGGCTGTTGCTTTTACTGTAGTGATCACTGTAGTAGTTGCTATGGCTGATGTTGTTGTTGCTGTTGCTGTTGTTGTTCTTGTGTTGCTGTGTTTAGTATTGCGTATGTCCGAACCAATAATTTTGAAGAGTTTACCAATTTGGTGGCTTAAATTTTTGCGGTTTTTTGCGTTTGTTCTAAAAAGATTTCCCTCGGCTTTTCTTGATTTCCCTTTCTGACGGTTTTGGTTTTCCCTTTTTCTTCTTTGTTGATTAAAAATTTACATTGATTTTTTATTTAGATTTTCCTCTTAGTTGCAAAACATTTTCACGTGTGGACGTTATTTTAAGATAATTTAAAATTTGAATTTTATTTTATTTTTTAGCTTCTCTTTGCCAAAAATCGTTTTTATATATTTTTTTAGATTTGAATTTGATTTAAGACCAAAAGTTATGTTGCCAATTTTTGAATTTTGCGTTGTTTTTCGAAAATGTTTTTTGGTTTCAGTTCATTTTTATGAAATTTATTTTATTTAAGCTTTTTTTTTTAGATGTTTAAATGTTCAAAATTTGTAACATTTTGTGGGTTTTGTGGTCGTTGAAGGTTTTTCTTGATGTTGCTAAAATTGTTGGTGTTGTGAGACATTTTCACAGTGACATTTGGCTGCAAGTATAAAAGCGTTGGGAAAATGGTTATTAGAAAAAGTTTTAGGGAATTTGGAAGAGGAAAAAGTCAAAATCAACTTTCAAATCAAATGTATTCAGTTTTAGTTTTACTTAATAAACTTCTATATCAAACTTTTTCTGAATAAATTTGATTTGTTTTGTAATTTTTTTTTCTTGAATTTTTCAAGTGTTTGCTGACACATTTTCCTTATCAGCTGCACTCGTTAAGAGAATGGGATATATCGTTTTATTATCGCCGAAAATATTTCATTATTCTCGCTTTCCGACTCGAATTCCCAATTGGCTTCTGGCAAATGTCTTTTATTCCACAGGCTACCCAAAAACACTTAATTTTTGAAATTGGGGAATCGGATATATATTTGAGGGGGTGGGGGGACATAAAACTTAATGCCCGATATCGGAGTTTAGGTTGTTAATGTTTAATATTTGTGATTCTTGCAGTTTTTGTTTGGAAGTTGAGAGGGAAAATAATTTTTTACGATGACAATTTTTATTTCTTAGATTTTTTCTAACAAAACTAACACTTTTTTTTTTAACATTTTTTACAAGAAAATCATTTCTTAACATTTTTCACATCTTCTTTTAGAGTTTTCCAACACTTTCCACTTAGATTATAGTTCTTCTTTTTCTCCTCTCTCTTTTAAACAAGTGTCCTGGGGATTAATTGCATTCCCTTTTATGCCTTGCACTTCTGCTTGCACTTTCCTTCATTCTCCCTTAATTGTTCTTCCTTCTTCACACACTCAATCGCTGACACACACACAAGCACACACACACAGTGCAAAAAAGGGGTTCAGTTCAGTTGGGATTGGGCCTTGTTTATTTTCAAAGGGGGAGGCGGCAAACGGGGAGGGTTGTTTATTGTTCCTTATTCATGTTGTTCCTGTTGTTGTTGGTTTTTGTTGCTATTGCTTTTTGCGTATGTTTCTATTGTTGTTGCTTGATTAAAAATGCAGACGTTTTCGTTATGCATAAGTTTTTGCTTCACTTTTTTTTCAAATTTGCCTTTGCTTTTTATGCTGCGTTTCTGTTTCTGTTTTTTTTTTCTGTTGAAATTTGAGTTGCAAACTCACGCACACACACACACACACCCTTAAAGAGTACATCAAGTACACACGCACAATAATCAAGTTTTTTTTTCAGATTAGTTTTTAGTTTGTCTTAGCACTTTTTTTGAATTTTACTCAATATTACCTTTTGATCACCGTTTTGCAACACTCACGACGACGCACAGACACACACACACTTGTACACGATGAACAGTTAGTTTTGTGCATTTGCTCGACGACGAAACCACAAACTAAACATAAATAATAATTTAAAAAACGTTTTTCAATGCCGCAAACTTTTTAGCACTTTTCCGCTTTTTACACTTCATACGCTGCAGTTTTTTTTATATGATTTTCCAGTAAGAAAATATACGTGAATTAATGTTTTTGTTTTTTATAATTTTAAGCGGTTTCGTTTTGGTTTGCTTTTTTTTTCGTTAGAATTTATAAAATTTATATATTTTTGTTGCAGTTTCCTGGGCTGTAATTTATGCTGCACGAGCGACGAGAGGCGAATGCGAATATGCGAACTGCACACAAAACGCTGCTGCTGCTGCTGCTCGAGCTGCGAGCACCGAAACCTAGAAACCGAATAGACGAGCGCCGTGTTCCAAAATTTCGTTTATGGCCTATCAGCCGGCGGGCAGCGACGTTGACTGCGGCAGCGATGCTAGCAGCAGTGGCAGTAGCAGCAGCGGAGAGCGAAAAGTCATCGAGTGTGGAGCCACCACCAATACATGCAAGCGAGCGTGGCAAAGCAACAGTCGGCGAGCGAAAAGAGAGCGGGCGCAAAAACGCAGCAAAGCGCAGCTCTGCACTATGGAGCGAAAATCAAAAGGTTAAGTAAAATACATAATATACATATATATATATTATATATTTTAAATTTAGAACGCCATTATAAAAAAATAATAAATAAACGTATTAGTCATAAAACATATAAAATATATTATGTATTGTTCCTTATTTTAATAATTACTATACAACCTATTACTTAAAAAGGCGCCAAAATTAGTATTACCTAAATAAATCTTTTAAGTATATAAAAATAAATTAAGTATATCCACTGTGCTGGCGTCGCAGTCGCAGTCGCTGGCAGCAGCAAACCAAACAAGTTTCAGCTGTGTGCTTTTGCTTTTCGAACTGAATCTCGATTTGCGAAGGAAGAAATGCGAGCGGAGACTCTTGGTTTCTTTTTGTTTCGCTGCCGCTGAGAGTGCGCCCATTTTGCATTGGTTCGCCGTCGCCCCCGCCGCAATAAAGTTCGCTTTGTGTGTGTGTGTGTGTGGTACGTTTGTGCTTTTGTTTTGCTTTGCCCCATTGCAAATGCAAAAGTTTTGCACTGGTGTGTGGGAGAGCGGAATACAGAATGAGCGACGCGCTCTTTCCCTGTTTCTCTCTGCAGAAGAGAGACAACCACTTGCGGTTCTTGTGCTGCTTTTTCTGATATTAATCCAATTGGAATGCAGGCGGTTAACTTGCAATTGTCAAATTGGACATGTCCAATAAGGATGATGTTAAAGGGATAAGATAGATTTTCTAATAAAGTCGTTCTTTTATTAAAATTGATTTTGTTTGATTAATAATTACATGAATAAATAAGGATATTACCCGTTGCAATCCCTTTTTGCATGTCTTTTTCTGTGTGTATGCACTGCCGCCCCAGGATAAAAATTACATATATCCTGATAATCCGGGGGTGAGTTTCTCTCGCCCTTTCTCCACACACTCTCTTCTATCACGCTCTCTCTGTCTTTCGGAGTCGCTCTCTTTTGCAGGCGCAATTGCATAAGGCATAAGGACATGAGGTAATTTAGAGGAGCTCCGTTCGAGTGGAAAATGTTTAGGGAAATCTCGCCCAGAAATAGCAAATGCAAACCTAAACTTGGTCTTAACCTATTCGAACAGCGGGAGACAGCCATCCAGGTGGTCTCCAAATCCTAGATGCAATAATATAAGGGTTTGCATAAGAAGATTTGTAATAGAAAAAAAGCAGTTTAAGATCTGCATGGGTTGGGTATATAAAAAAAGAAAGGGTTAAAGGGTTAATTGCATTCCCTTGTTCAAACATTTTCGAAAGTAGGTAAAACAAAAATTCATTATAATATCAAATTACGATTATAATAATAATAATAGGACATCATTTTCAACTTTTCCTCATTTACATTTACAATCTTTAAAGACATATTACTACAATTGACTGTTAATTTTCTCTTATAACAAAAATATTTCCCCAATTATTAGCATAATCCCTCTCAAGGAGACTTTTAAAAAACCAAGGAAAACCCTCAAAAAATGTCTTAATTTTTACCCAAAAAACTTCCCCTTTTCCCACAAGTGTCAGTATCCCCTTTTTGAATGCATTTCCCAATGAAAATATCAAATTCCGGAACAATAAAAACAATTAAAAATTTATTTCAAAGGCAAAAAAAGAGTCAAAAATGTTGAAAAAGTTGAAAAACTATTCCTTTATTTCGATTAATTAAAAGTTGATTCTTCACTGCCGGCAAAGACCAAAAAACAACACTCAAAAGCAAAAGCAAAAATAGTAAAAATACACAGAAAGTATAAATGATGAATTTATGATGCAAATATTTAATGATAAAAAGCGACAAACATTTTTATATTCAATTTGAATAAATTTAAAACTGATTTAACATGTCTAAAAGAAGAAAATAAATTGCTTAATACCTTTCCTTTTAATTAAACATTTTATCATATCATATACAACTTTTTCTTTCAGTGCAGCAATTTCAAAAACAATAACAATGCGCATTCGTTTTGCAGTGAGAAAACGAGAGAGGGAGCAAGCGAGCCCGCTAAGCTTTTGGCGGCGGCAGAACTTCCCCATCTCCACAAAAATTCAATCTTGTAGAATGGAGAGCGCATGTCGTTCTCTCTCACTCTGGCTCCCCCAGTCTCACACTCTGTCCCACTCTCAGAGAGCGGCTGCTGCCATTTTATGCACACACAATGACAATGAAAGCTTATGGGTACGGGAGGCGAGGCGTGGTGGAGGGA